CTAGATCATCCAGCCCCAGCCAAGCTGACCCCAGAGATCAGCCGAGCTAGTCTAGATCAAAAGAACCTCCTTGCTGACCCACAGAACTGTGAGAAATAATAACAGTTTATTGATTTAAGCCTCTAAGTATTGGGATGGTTTGTTACCCAGCAAAAGCTAACGGATACAATCATAAAATAAAAGCAAAAACATGTTAGGCATTAAAAGCAATAAAACGAATAGGCTGGACTAAGAGATCTCGAAGGAGCCCTGGAGGCACAATGGTCAAGTGCTCAGCTGCTAACCCTAAGATCAGCAGTTCAACTCCACCAGCCACTCCACAGGAGAAAAGACTTGGTGATCTGCTCCCGTAAAGATGACACCCTAGGATACTCTATGAGGTGGTTCTACTCTGTCCTATAGGACTGCTATGAGTCCGAATCGACTCCACGGCATCCAACAATGACAACAAAGGGGATCTCTACTGCCTCCTGTAGCTGAGAAGGTCAGATGACAAGGTTTGGGGGTCTTTGGTCCCTGTGCCTCAGGCCCTGGGTATCAACTTGTGAGACTCACACAGGAATAGGCCAAACTCCTGGGGGAGGAGAGATAAAGCAGGGGCGGGGCAGGGAGAAGGAGGAATAAAGGGGAGAAACCGAGAAGAGGGTGGTGCTGGAAGGTGTATTAAGGACCTCCCAGAGTCGGTACACAGGCCCTGCCCTCAGGCTCCAGGCCCTAACCCAGCACTGCACGCTCTCGCATGGGAACCACTTCTAAAGCAAAGAGGTGAAGGGCAACTAGTGTACTGCCAGGCACCTCCCCAACAGCTTACCTCAGGACACTGGCCCTTCACTTGGGGTAAGGGTCCCTGGGCCATGACCCTCACCGTCTCCACGTGGGAAGAAGGACTGTCCTGGCAAGATGCTTTGAGACAGGGAGCTAGAGCACAAAGGATCTAAAACACCAGTCCAGCACTCAGGACTCTGGCCCCAGCTGACGGGATTTGAGCCTTCCAGGCCAGTGGCATGTGGTGGTGGTAACGGAGGGTTTATCCAAGCTTATACATTCGTCCAGTGTAGTACAGCTGACAAAGCAACTATGCCCATTTTCCTATTTGTGAGTTCACAGAGCTGGAAGCCTAAACTCCACTTCATAGAGAAAGACTGAGGCTGCGAGAGAATGACTTGTCCAAGGTCCCAGAGAAACCAAGAAAGAGTCAAAGCTGGGAGGAAAAGGCCTGGATGACAGCTGTGTGCCACCCCTGTGCTAACTGAGGCCCAAGACTGGACCACACAGCCCCAGTGACCCAGGAGGCTCAGCTTAGGAAAAGCTCATGTTTTCCAAATCACTAGAATCCATGGCTGGTGTAGAGGAAGCTTTGCCTGAACTCGTTTCCCACGGGGTCTGCCTCTACCCACCCAAGGCTCTCCCAGAAGTTTCTCTGGTCCTACAAAAGGTACAGGTTGCCCAGGAACTTGTCCAAGGAACATCAAGCTTTGACCCTTCCCAGGATAATTCTCCTCCTGGGTAAGACCACAAGCTTGAACATTTTGCTAGGAGGACTCCAAAATAAATTATTTCAGACTTAACAGAAGCTGCTTAATAAATTCCACTCTTCTAGTTTCCTTGGGTCTTTTAGAAACTGATTTATACATACAATATCTCTCTCAAAAATGAGACAATCAACACAGGATAAAATTATTGAGTTATAAAAATAGGGGTCAGATGGAGGTGCAGTGCTTTAAATTAAACCGGCAAAATACATCTTTCATACTAAATTGACTCTTTTTGTCTTGGAAATGAATGTTTAATCAGTTAAGACGCTGAAGTTGAGGGAGAAGCCTTAAGCATATTTAATTTTGTAAAAGGGGCCTGATTCCAATACTGTTCATGATTCCTGCTAGCAGCCGTGCCTTCAGAGCAGAAAGGCTGATACCCACACAAGCCCAGGAGGCCGAGCGGGCCGGGGCAGGAGACAGGAGGACTTTGTGGCCTCTGGGATCAGAGCCAAGGAGGCCCCAACATGAGACAGCTGTCAGACTTCTTGGCCTCACCTACCCCTCCAGGGACAACACCCTTGACGCATCTCAATCTGTACAGACTAGACACCCTGGCCTTCAGGGCATCCTTTGTGCTACCTGAAGCCCAGTGGCTGACAGCTCCGTCCCTCAATCACCTGGTAAAACCGAGAAGTGGATGTCAGGGACTGAGCTGGGTTTGAATTCTGGTTTTGCTGCTTAATAGCTATGTGACATTAATTCATTTATAAAATACTTATAGAACCTACTAGAGGTCAAGCCGTCATTTTCCAAGGAAGTGATAACCCCACATCTGAGCCAGGTGCCTCTTCTGGGTGCATGTCGCACCACATGTGGATTTTATTGGAGCATTTACTACATTTTTAGAAATGGACGCTTTACTTGTCTCTCCTTCTGCACTGCAGTTTCTCACGGGCATCTCGTATATCCAGAATCCACAACAATGGCTGGTACCTAGCGAAAGCTCAATAAAGGCTGTTGTAGGGCTGAAGATCACTGTGGTACAGGACTTCGAACTAGTTCTGATGTACCGAATCAGAATCTACATTTTAACAAGGTCCTCAGGTGATTCTTACGTGCAATAAATTTTGAGAACAACTGCTCTACTAGTGGTTCTCAGAATTGGTCCCTAACCAGGAGCACTAGCATCGCCTGGGAACTTGTTAGAAATGCAACTTCTCGGCAGGGGTTTGAACCTGAACAAACCAGTTCGAAGCCCTGCTGTGGTGGGTTGAAAAATGCACCCCTCCAAAAAGATTATCAGGTCCTAATCCCTGGAACTTGCAAACATTATCTTAATTGGAAAAGGGTTTTTTTTTAAAATTTTTTATTCCTTGCAGGTATGATTAAGATAAGGCAATGAGGGGATTATCCTGGATTATCTGGTGAACCCTAAATGCCATCACAAATGTCCATATAAAAGAGAGGCAGAGGAAGGCTTTACTGACAGAAGAGAAGGTGATGTGAAGACAGAGGCAGAGTGGAGTGATGCAGCCACAAGCCAAGGGACTCCTGGAGCCACCAGAAGGTGGAAGAGGCCAGGGACAGATTCTCCCCTAGAGACTCCAGAGGGAGCATGGCCCTGTCAACACCTTGATTTGGGCCCAGTGATACTGACTTTGAACTTCTGGCCTCCAGAACTGTGAAAGAATAACTTTCTATTGTTTTAAGCCACCAAATCTGAGGTAATTTGTTACAGCAGCCACAAGAAACTAATACCATCACCTACTTCCTCTCAGTCTCCATGTCCTTGGTTTATAGCAGTTCCTACCTCACTGGCTTCTTGGGAGCATTATATGAGAAACATTTGTAAAGCCCTCTGCTTGTCACTTGACACCTAGTAGGTGTTGACACAAATTCCAGCATCACCCATATAGTGCGCATGCTCTTTCTCTCTCTCTCTCTCTCACACACACACACACACACACACACACACACAAGCCACCACCATCCTGCAGGTCAGACAAATTTTAAAAATTTATTTCTCTGGCCCGGTGTCACTCTTTGCCAGACATCCCTAATGTATGTACATATTCTTTCCGGTTTTCCCAGCTGGTCTGGCCGCCCTCCCCTGTGTAACATGCCTTGGCTTATCTCTCATTACGTAACAAGGACATATAAAATTCAGCGAACCCTCGCAAGCTCTGACTAATGGAAGAATTAAGGCTATCTGAATTTGTGAAGCATCTTAAACTGAGCTCATTTTAAAAAAATCTGGAAAATGACTGCAAAGTGCCTATTTGGACAGAGCCCAACAAAAGCATTTCCTAGGCGGGGCTACTAGGGGGTTATGGTTGATAAACAGATAATACACTTCGTAATTATCAGAGCTATTATAACCAGGTGGCCCTACAAATGTAGCTACGAGTCTGAGCAGTTTGTTCCTTTAGGTAAATGAGACTTAAGGGAAAACACTGCAATTTGGTTACAAGGGGGAATTTATTTTTATTCCAAATAATAATAGCAAATATTCCCTGATTGCTTCCTCTCTGCATTATCTCAGATGTTCTGCACCAAGATCTTAAGGTGGGTACTATTATGGTTCCCAAGATAACGAAACTGAAGCTAGAGAGGTAGAGCCAGGACTGTAACACAGGTCCGTGGGACGGCAGAGTCTACAAATTAGCCCTTCATATTGAAAAAGCACACATCTCCTTAGCATGGGATTCAGGACCCTTATGATCCAGGCCCTGCTGGCTCTTTTACCTCTTTTTCTCCCTCCTTGGCTCCAGGTTCCTGTCCAGCCTAATAAAAACAATGAATCACATGCCAGTCCCCAAGCACGACATGAGCCCTCCTGCCTGGTGCTTTTGTACATGCTGTTCTACTGCTGGGAAGGTCCTTTCCTTCTTTTTCTACTGGCATTTTGGTCTGCCTGCCAAATTTCTCCTTATCCCACAAATTTCAACTCAGTAATCACCTTCTTCCCTGGCAGCTTAAGCAAGGTACAATTTTTTAAAAAACAAAAACATGATTTTGTTTATATAAAATGTCCAGAATAGGCAAATCTATAGAGACAGAAAGTAGATTAGTGGTTGCCTAGAGCTGTAGGGAGATGCAGGAGTGTAGGGTGATGGCTAAGGGGTACAGGGTGATGGTTGCACAATTCTGTGGATATACCAAAAGCTGCTGAATTGTACACTTTAAATGGATAAATTTAAAGTATGTGAATTATATCTCAATAAAACTGTTAAAAATAAAAATGAGATTATACTTATAAAAAAATAAAACAAATAATATCATAATATTGTAAACAGTTCTCCAGAAGCAAGCAGTGTGAAGACATTAATTTCTCTCCCTGCCCACCCCCAGTATTCTGCAGATCCCCATGCAGGCAGCCAGCTGAACCCAGGCACTGCACATGAGCATAGAGTGTGGTCCTCATCAAGGCACTGGCATTCTGCTCCCCTCTCAATCCCCTTCCCTGATATCATCAACAGCCCCTATACCTGGCAGAAACCACTGTGGGTGATAGAGACTCACCGTGGGCAGTTGGCCTGACAGCAGGTGGCTGTCCTGGGCCAACATGTTGGACACCATGATGGCCGGGAGGTCCATGGCCTGGTAGGAGTAGGCAGGGAGCAGACCGTTGGGCGTGAGGCCGTGGCAGAGTGAGTGGTAGCTGGCTTCGTGGTCCCCTAAGTGCAGGAGGGATGGCTCAGGGAGGTTGGGAGGTGTTATCGGGGGGATCTCATAGTCTTCGTTGGTCTCGCTCTGGCTGTTATAGGTCTAAAACATCAAAAGGACACATTGTCTTGGGTCAGTTGTACAACTGCAGAACATGCTCGACAGCACCAATAATAACAACAATGATAACAACCCCTTAGCAAAAGAGAGAAGAAATGATCCCTCAGTAAGGCAGAGGGCAAAGGTGGACCCCTGATCTGGTCAGACTCCTGCTCCATCCCCAAATGGATGCTCCCTCCTACTAGAAGCTTCCTCTGTGTATACAAAAACCTGCTCTCCTGGAGAGTGGGGGCCAGCCTGTTCACCCATGCCTCTCTGTTTTCCCACCAGATATGACCACTACAACTCATCATGAGTCCATCTTTCCCCACCCTAACCATTTTATAGATGGAAGACTCAGGTCCAAGAAGGAAAGTGGTCCTTCCAAGGTTAGCAGAAGTGTTGAGAATGGAGCTGAAGTATCCTGACCCTTGTCTGATAGTCTGGGATCCTGGGAGTCTGGCTCCTCATAGTCCTTATAATCAGCCTTGTGTCACGGCCAAGTGGATGGCCTGGGTACCCAGAAACAGGATTCGGTCAGCCTTTTTATTGAATGAGCTTGCAACAGACAGAGACATTCGATGTTCTGTTTTTATTTTTTGTTTAATTCTGTGTATTAGTTTCCTGTTGCTGCTGTAACAAATATCCACAAATTTAATGACTTAAACAATGCAAATTTATTATCTTACAGTTCTGGTGGTCAGAAGTCCAAAAATGGGCCTTTTGGTCTAAAATCAAGACATCAGCAGGGCTGCATTCCTTCTGCTGGCTCTAGGGGAGAATCTGTTCCTTGTCTTTTCCAGTTTCTAGAGGCTATCCACATTCCTCACTTTGTAACACCTTCCTCCATCTTCAAAGTACATCACTCCAATCTCTGCTTCTACTATCACATCTTCTTCTCTGATTCTGACGCCCCTGTTTCCCTCTTAAAAGGACTCTTGTGATTACACTGGACCCACCCAGATAATCCAGACAATCCCCTGGAGACACAGAGACAGGCAGATCCAGAAGGAAGACAGCTTTGTGAAGATGGAAGCAGAGGCTGGAGTAATGCCTCTATAACCCAAGCAACCCCAATGATTGAGAGAAACCACTGGCAGCTAGGAGAGAGGTATGGAACAGACTCTCCCTCAGAACCCTCCAGAAGGAACCAACTTTGCCGACATCTTGATTTCAGATTTCTGGCCTCCAGAACTGTGAGAGAATACCTTCCTGTTGTTTTAAGCCACCCAGTTTGTGATACTTTGTCATGGCAGCCCTAGGAAACTAATACAGCTATGCCTGGTATCACTGTCCTTGCCGCGAGTTTCAGAGACTTCCACAAGGACACAGAGCAAGTAAACAACAGCGTACTAGCTCAGTATCCCACACTCTTTTTCCCACTGTGAACATTACTCACTGCTCACACCACAGGTCTGTGTGCCATGGGCTGATATCTATATTCAGCCTGGCCACCAGAATGGTGGGAATCAGCCATGGGGATCATATCACCCCAGAAAGCAGAGTCCCACTGCCAGCCTTCCTGTTCAGGGTCACCTCCTCCTGGAAGCCTGGCCACCCTAAGGCAAGACTCCCCTCCTCTGACTCCTCACCTACAGCCGCTTGTGTGGGTCCCCCATAGTATTCATTACAACTTGCAATTATTTTTTGACTCTTTACCAGTGCCCCTCCCCCAGATCCTAGGCTCTATGAAGCCAGGAATTAAGTCTGTCTTGTCACCAGTGCCTAGCACTGAGCACAACACATAGTAGGTGCGCAATTAAAATTTATTGAATGAGCATATGAAATGGGGGAATGCCCTACATCTAGACCTCACTAGGTGTTTCCATGTCTGTCCCTCACAACAGAGACTGTAAGTCCCTCAGCCGCCCACTGTTCACATCTGTTGACCTCCACCCCCAGCCCCCCCAGCTCCTAGTACAGGTGCTGGCACATAGCAGGTAGCCAGTGAATGCTAAATGAATTCAGAAGTCCAGTTCTTTCTATTAAAAAACAAAACCTCAATACACTGGAACCCGCCCAATCAACCAGAAGCCTTTGGAAAAAATAAGCATATGTTGTATCAAAATATCAGAATAACACAATTATGACAATTCAATTAAAGAGGCAATTAGCACACTGAAAAATCACTAAACTTGCAAACACATACATGTCTCCTCCGAATGCAATCAAATCTTAAGTGAATGATACCTGAGTACCAACCCAATCTGCTAGTGTGCATACTGAGCACCTACTGTGTGCCAGCCACTGGGCTTGCCACTTCCACACACATTCTCCATTTCATCCGAGTTTAGCAAAGAAGCGACTATTATCTCCATTTTGCAGATGAGGCTTAGACAGTGGAAGTGTCACATAGTTAGTAAGTCTTAGTTGGGATTCAAACCTAAGTCTTCAGAGTCTGACTCCAGCATTTTCCTCCACTAGCTCAGATGCCTCTTCAAGATTTATATTTCAGACTTCCTTAATTAAGATACTGGCCACTAATTTGTTCTTACCACCAGTGTGCTCATGAAAACATAGAAAGATGTCAACTTGTAAAACTCCAGAAGTTAAAAATATTAGTAAAATCCTACAGAAAAAGCCTCCTTGAAATAGTTATCTCCAATTCCTTCTGCCCATTTTCTTTCAAACCCAATCCAATCACATTTTCATCCCACCCTCCACTAGAGCTGCTTGTGAATGCTCTGCACTTGGCTTTGGGAACACCACAAATGTTGATCTTCCTACATCACAGTCCGTTTCTTCTCCATCTCCTTGGCTGGTTCTCATTCTTTTCCCCAACCTGTTAATGATGACATGTCCCAGAGCTCAGATCTTAGACCTCTTCTCTGAACATCCTCACTCCCATGGTGATCTCATCAAGTCTTGTGGCTTTAATCACCATCTATATGCTGCTGATGCCCCACTTTATATCTCTAGCTTGGACCTCTCCCCTAAACTGCAGACTCATATATCCCACTGTTATTTGACATCTCTGTTTGGATTTTAATAGACATCTCAAACTTAACATGCCCAAAAGAGTAACTGCTCCTCTTACGGTCTTTCCTACCTCAGCTAGCTAATGGCAATTCCTTCCTTCCACGTGCCAAGCCAAAAACGTTGAAGCTATCCTTGACTCCTCTCTTTCTCTCATATCCTATATCAAATTTGTCAGAAAATCCTATTGGATCCACCTTCAAAATAAATCCAAGATGTGACCAACCCTCTACTGCTACCACCATAGTCCAACCCACCATCATCTTTAGCCTGGATAACTGGTTTCCCTGTCTCCACCCTTGCTATGGTCTATTCTCACTCAGTGGTCAGAATGATCCTGTTAAAATGTAAGATCCTGTCGCTCCTCTGCTCACAACCTTCCAGTGTCCTCTTACTCAGGGTCTTTACCATGGCCTCTGACATTCTGCTACATGGTCTAGACTCCCCACTCCCACCCCTACCCCTTTACCTCTCTGATACCATCTCTGACTACTCCCATCCTTGTTCATACCACTCCAGCCATACTGGGCATGCTTCTACTCTAGACCCTTCAGACTGGCTGTTCCCTTCCTCTAGAACGCTCTTCTCTCAAGTATCTACGCAGCTCTGTCTTTCATCCCATTTGAGTCTTTACTCAAGCATTCTCTTCTGGATGAGGTCTACCCTTGCTGCTCAATTTAAAATCACAAACCATCATCCTTGTTCTATTTCTTCCATTATCACTTATCACCTTCTAACATCCTATACCTGGTGGCACAGTGGTCAAGAGCTCAGCTGTTAAACAAAAGGCTGGCAGTTCGAATCTACCAGCCACTCCTTGGAAACCCTATGGGGCAGTTCTACTCTGTCCTATAGGGTTGCTATGAGTCAGAGTTGACTCGATTGCAATAGGTTTTTAACATCCTATACATTTTATTTATTATGTTTATTGTTGATTATCAGTCTCTAGTGGAGCAATTTTCATCTGTTTTATTCACTGCTATACCCCCAGTTCCTAGAACTGTGCTTGTCACGTAGTGAGCGCTCAAAAAATATTTGATGAATCAATGAATGAACAAATGAATGCTTACTCACCAAATGTCAGAAGAAATAGTGGTAAGAAAATGAACTGATGGCAGAAGATCATGATTCCCCCTTCCTCCCAGGAATTCCAGGAGAGGGCTTACCCTTCTCTGACCCAAAGGTAAGTCATAGGTCAGCTGAATCAGTCCAGCATTTTTCCCTTCCAGTAACTGGTGCATGAAAAATCCTAATGGACAGTCTGTCCTTCCAGCGTGGGGTCAGAAGTTGGCATGAGACAAAAGGTGGGGTTAGGAGATGGGGATTTACAAACAAGTGAGAAGACAGAGCTCTCCTGCCAGGGAGCGATGCAGTATGAAGCTGCTAGATCCATCTTGTCCCTCAATTTCTCCATTGTGCTTCTCTTCTCAAATCAGCCAAGGAATGGGAATTCAGAGCAAAGTAATATGGCTGGGGTAGAAGGGGCATCAGAAAGACAGAATGTCAGTTATGGTTTTCATGCACCAGTTATAGGAAGGGAAGAATGATGGACTGATTCAAACTAACTTTGGCTTACCCTTGGGCCAGAGAAGGGTAAGCCCTCTCCTGGAATTCCTGGGAGGGGGGGTCTTCATGAATCACTGAGGGCAACAACTCCTCATGGCAGAAGAGTAGGGGGCCAAGGGGAGGCCTCTGGGACTTGAGGAAGTAGTGGGGAGGAAGGAGTTTGAAGAATATCCAATGGACCAGAAGCCTGTTGCAATGATAAGTTTATGTTCTATCAAATTACCATAATAAACTCATTCACTTACCACAATAAAATAAAACAACAAACTAATAAAAAAAATTCTACCACAGGGAAGCTTAAAAAAGAATATTCTGTTAAATGATTCTTTCTGAAAAAATACCTAAAGCTAGAACCTAGGAATAAAAAGTGAATACAAGGAAAAGGATTCTAGAAAGAGTGAGCTAAGAAAAAACCACTACAACTTATATTAATTCAAAATAGTTTCTGATAAGATGACTGT